ATATGATAAAGTACAAATATCATAGTAGCGTTTTGTAGTTATACTTAGTTGCCTATGAAGAATATGCTGCACTATATATTATATACACTATATGTCCTATAATGTGATAATTATGCCTACGCACAAGTCTCCTACTAAGCCATGGCACTGAATTAAAAAGAATGTTTTTTAACAATGTATTTGGTATCTGCATTAATTTTTGATAGATTCTTACAATGTATTCTGATCATATTCATTCCAACTAGTCATGTTAAATTCTTCCAGAGCCATCCACTTCCATAATCTCCAATTATTAAAAAAAGTACGCCATAGACTAAAATTTTGTTGTCCACCTGTTTTGGGTATGGGGCAGTACAGCAAGGTTGACTTACCAAGAACTAAACCCTTAAAGAACAATGATTTCTGAGTTCCTTGTTCGTGCTCTCTCTTCTTCTGCTCCTGGTTTGGACCTTGAGTTTTCAGTCCAGTGCTCCAATGTGGGTCTCTGTCTCTGTCTCCTTTCATCGCCTGATGAAGGTTAATATTCAGGAGGATGACTATATGTTTTTCTTTGGGTTCTCCTTCTTATTTAGCTTCTCTAAGATCACGAATTATAGGCTCAATGCCCTTTATTTAGGGGGTGCACCCACACACTGAGACAATGGGGATGTTCTCTCGGGAACTCACCGAGGCCAGCTGGCCTGGGTCTGAAAAAAGCCAGGGATAAAACCGGTCTCGCTGAACATAGTGGACAATGAGGACTACTGAGAACTCAAGAACAATGGCAATGGGTTTTTGATCCTACTGCACGTACTGGCTTTGTGGGAGCCTAGGCAGTTTCGTGGATGCTCACCTTACTAGACCTGGATGGAGGTGGGTGGTCCTTGGACTTCCCACAGGGCAGGGAACCCTGATTGCTCTTTGGGCTGACGAGGGAGGGGGACTTGATTGGGGGAGGGGGAGGGAAATGGAAGGCCGTGGTGGGGAAGAGACAGAAATCTTTAATAAATGAATAATAAAAAAGAACAATGATTTCTTCTTTCTTAGAAGCCATCATTAATCCATAGTTTCTCAGTTAGAAGTGGGACTTCATGATCTCACAATCAGTAGGTTGGTGACTGACTTGATCTCGCTGTGTAGGCAGCAATAGCTATTGGTAGTTCTTGAGTAAGAGGGTCTGGTCATGATAAAAAAAAAAAAAAAACCACTCTGTTTCTCTGCAAATCTTTCTGTATTTTGGCTCCTAAATTTTTTCCATTCACTCTTTGCCAGAGACCCCTAAAACTTGGAGTGAGGATTGGGATACAAACGTTCTGTTTCTGACTGAGCCACTCCACTACTACTTATTCTGCACTTTGACTGGTCATTGAGACTCCTTTCTCAAGTGATTTTAGATTGTGTCAATTTGATAATTAAATCTAATTTTGACAATAAAAGTGTAACTTTTTACTTTATTCTCTGAATCTACTGACAAGATCAACTGAAGAAGTGGTTAAATCCTAGAAAAAATTACTGTCTCTTGGGAGTGATATGCTTACTGAAAAGAAATAGCAATATTTGATGAACTGAGAATTAAAGTTTGTTCTTATTAGTATAGACACATTTAGTTATTTTCCCAAGGACCAATAGGATATTAATTCAATATCAACATCATGACATGTAAAACTTTCTAAATATTATTTTCTTTGTTAAATATTTGAATTGGGGGCTGGAGAGATGGCTCAGAGGTTAAGAGTACTGGTTGCTCTTCCAGAGGTCCTGAGTTCAGTTTGCAGCAACCACATGGTGGCTCACAACCATCTGTACTGAGATCTGGTGCCCTCCTCTGGTGTGCAAGCATACATCAACAGAATCTTGTATACATAATAAATAAATCTTTAAAAAATATTTGAATGGGAAAATTAAATTCATATAATACAAAAGAGAGATTAATATTTGCAATTATGAATTTTTTAAAGTTTTATATCAGGGTAATCTGTCTTAATAAAAGTACTGTAATCATCCTTATCTTGAGAATGTGAGATGGTACAGTGTTCATACATGCAATAAAGTCAGATGCATGATGCTGGCATTGTGATATGGCATTAACCATACAAGGATTCCATACTGTGAGATTCCATAGCAATTGTCCTAATGACTGAGATGGGTAAACAGCTAACTGGTCTGTAGCTTTATACAGCTTAACAAGGGGATATGCCAGATATGAAGACAATGAATGGAGTCAAAGTTAATGTTATCTACAATAGTGAACAATTTGAAGTTTATGACACTTCTGGAATTATTTATTTATTTATTCATTCATTCATTCATTTATTTATTTATTTTTAAGATCATGGCTAGTTTTTATTTATTTATTTTTGTTTTTATTTTTTATTTATTTATTANNCCCCCTCCCCCGATCAAGTCCCCCTCCCTCATCAGCCCAAAGAGCAATCAGGGTTCCCTGACCTGTGGGAAGTCCAAGGACCTCCCACCTCCATCCGGGTCTAGTAAGGTGAGCATCCAAACTGCCTAGGCTCCCACCAAACCAATAGGTGCAGTAGGGTCAAAAACCCATTGCCATTGTTCTTGGGGTCTCAGTAGTCCTCCTTGTCCGCTATGTTCAGCGAGACCGGTTTTAACCCGGGCTTTTTCAGACCCAGGCCTTTTAATTGTTATTTTTGGATCAAAGTTGAATGTAGTTCACTGGCCATTGAAAGTTGTAAGAGAGACAAGTACAAACAATTCATCAAATGTCATGCTTACATGCTTATCATGTCATTTATCACCTCATACAATATACTTAAGAGCAAATGAAGATGAAATACACTGATAGTTTTGTGCTCTTTTGATATCAGAAACCATTGGAACTCTTTTTAAATTCTGAATATGTGTATGCATTTAGCAAATTATACAAGACAGCGAGAGGCACAATGCCTACTTGTAAGGACTAGAATCTGGAATATATTCAGTACTTATTTATACTACTGCTCTAACACAGTAGATAAAAAGCACAGAACAGGTAAAGGGAGCATGGAACTGTTACGGTGAAACTGTACATATAAGAAGTAAGTGAAAAGAATAAGCTATATTGAATAAAAACAGAGGGCTTCCAAAATTTTATTTCACCAAATATACAGACTGTGAAGGGACGTGGAGTGGGTGATACTAGGAAAATTATATTAACATATATATCAGTTAAGTTTCAACCACTGACTGCAACAAGTGATGATCTGGCTGTGGAGCAAGGGAATGCCTATTGCTGCCAGGACTGAAAATGAATACAGCACAGTAGGAAGACTGTGTGTCAATTTCCTGCACAGCTAAACATATTCTTTAGACAACTCAGCAATTTTCCTTCTTAATGCTTACCCAGATGAGCTTTATGTGCAAATGAATATATGAACAAAAGATTTATTGAAGATGTTTTCATGGTTAACAAAAGTATATAACAACAAACATTTCTTTTAAAGTAAGTAGATAGGCAAACTTATATTCATGAGTGGGGATCATAGCTAGAGATAAAACAGAAATGGCTTATAAGGAAGGAAAGGAAGACCCCTAAAAAAGAGTTTGGCTAAATGAAGAAGTCATGGTGAAAAGGTTTGATGCTATATGACTCTGCCTATATGATATTCTGGAAAAAATAAAGAACCATAAACAACTATAAGCAATAAAAACTCAATATTTTCCAGAATATTGTGAGGTGTGCTGAGTGAAGACTGTATGAAAAACAGATTGCTTTTAGCTCAGTGAAAATATTTTATATGATATTGGGTTCATGTTTGCATGACTCCATAAACTTGTCAAGGCCCACAGAAATGCAAACTATAAACACAAACTCTGATTGAACTGTGAGATTTGGATAATGGCAGTCTGTCACAATTCCCACACCCTCTGCGATGAGTGCGCAATCATATTGAAATCTGTTTACAGAGGATTACTACTATGTGTGTTGGGGGAGGTAATGAGGACTATTGTGTTTATACTCATTATTTTCTGAAATGTAAAAGTCTCCCAAATATAAAGTTGATTGAGAAGCAAAAGAGGCACATGGACTAATCTTATAAATGGCTTAAGAACTGGTAGTTGAAGAAGGTCAACACTAGACAATAGGATTCTGGGCCCTTTTGGCAACACATTATATAGCTGTGTAGAGAAGAGTGTCAGGATTTAAGATAATGTCTCATGGGTTTTAAAACCACTGTTTGAAACCAATTTTTGCTACTGTCATATGACTTCTGTTTTGGATTATTTTTCACACTGTTGCAAAAACTTATAGAGCTATCCTAATAGTAACAGTTAAACCTGATAGACTAAGTGTTGACTTTAAATAGACTATCAAAATTGTTTCACCAATTGTAAGATCCAAATGAAAGAGTATGTAAAGCAAATAGCAATTATGTAATCAATAGTCTAAAATGGGCAAAAGCAAAGCAGGCATTTCTTTTATTACCCAAAGTTCATTACTGTTCCAACAATGTAAAATTGATTCCTTCTGCCTTTCACGTGTGTTCTTCCCAGTTGCGCAGAAACAGATCATTAATTTACTTTAGAGTCTGAGGAATAAAATACTCTTGTAGAGTAAAACAGAATGCAAGCCTCTAATTGAACTTTGATTTAATTTGTAAGTTAAGGATCTAATACTGAGTATGAACAGATTTAATTGAGGACAAGACATTGTTAGATGTGATCACTAACACATGCCAGCTATGAGGAGTTCTATTTAGTGGGTTGGTATATGCAGACTTTGAAGATGCAACAACTCCATCCCATTACATGATGAGAAGAATTTAAGGGCCACACTAATTTGGCAGCTAAGCACATTCAATAGTTTAAAGAATGTAAAAGAGACTCTTCTTTCCAGTAGACAGTGCAATAATTAGTAGTTTTTAAGTAGCTATAATTAAAGAAAAATGATGCTAATGAGGGAATACATATTAAAGATCACGTGTTCTTCTTAGGGTATATAAGCTTGACCCACACACTTGTGCTCAAGATCTTACCTTGAACTTCATACCAAACTCTTCATCTCTGACACCATGAGTTACTACAACAGCTACTACGGAGGCCTGGGCTATGGCTATGGAGGCTTTGGGCGCCTGGGCTATGGCTATGGCTGTGGATGTGGCAGTTACCACAGACTGGGCTCTGGCTATGGCTTTGGTGGCTATGGGTATGGCTCCGGCTTTGGAGGCTATGGCTATGGCTACAGCCGCCCACTTTACTATGGAGGATATGGGTTCTCCACCTTCTACTGAAAGACTGACTTGGAAAGCCAGCAGATGAGACCATGAGAAGATTAACCAAATCAATGAAGTATTGGACCAATATCACTTTGGACTAAGTCAAGAAAATCTGAAGAGTTCAAGGTTTTAAGAAGGCTAATTATCTAACCATGCTTATAGAGATTCCCTGATTTAATATGTATAGAAGATTCTGGTTTAGTTTGCAATAAATTATTCTACTGGAAATAAGCACATGTGGTATTTATTTAATCATTTGTTCATGGAAATGCTGTCTCTGGCTCTTCTTTTATGTTTTGTTTACTGAATATTTTGAAAATAAGTTATTTCATGTCAAAATAGATCTATCTACCAATAAAACTAATCAAGGCATTTGAGATGACAATGATTTTCTGACTTTGCATATTCAAGTCTTTTTTTTTTTAACACACACATACACTATATGTTGATAAACCTAGTTTGTTATAGGAGGCTGTTTGTTTGCTCCCAGTTGCTCATCCCTGAAATAACCACACAGAAAGTGTATTATTGAAACCACTGTTTGGCCTATTAGCTCTAGCTTTTTATTGACTAGCTGTTATAGCAAGAATTTAACCCATTTTTATTAATCTGTGTATCACCATGTACTGTGGCCTACCGGCAAAGTTTCAACAGTGTTTGTCTCCAGTGGCAGCTCCATGGCTTCTCCCTGACTCTACATTCTTTCTCCCAGCATTCAGTTTAGTTTTCCTTGCCTACCTCTACTCTGACCTGCACAGGCCCAAGACAGTCCTTTATTAATCAATGGTACTCACATCATACAGAGGGGAATACCACATGGTCAGTTTCATTTGGTATGAATTAAAATGAGTAGTAACTAATGTTGTCAGACTTTCTTATTAATCACAGTAATAGAATCCTTAACCCAAATGATTTCTTTAACCAGCTATGGTGATCATCTTTGAGTCCTTGTTTTCAAAGTGTGCTGCTTTACTGGACTCCATCAGAGTAATGACACCTAGTGACTCTATTGGAGGCTTATGGTGTTGGGCAGGAAATAATAACAAATTTTAATTTTCTAGTTATTAGTAGTATTTTTCCATAATATTGATAGGGGCTAACTATAATAATAAAAAAAGAATGATCAGTACAACATCTTGGTGAATGTATTAGACACAGTACAAGGCAGAATTATTGTAATATTAGATATTTATTTATTACTTCTGTGAATGTATACAGGAATAAACAGCAGGATTCAGAATATCTTATTTTTCTGGGGGATGGATATGCTTATGTTATGGACAACACATCACAATAAGTTATTAGACTCCAAACAGGTTAATAACTGCCAAATCCAAGAAAGTAAAATGTGACATTCTAAAATGTACTTGATTTATTTGTAAGTTTTTGGCTTCAGCTTGAATTAATAAGGATAAAATATTCAAATTACTGGGATGTTTTTCATTTAGAGAAAACAGCTAAAATGAAAAATGTAGAAAAAATACTAATGCTTAATGTTAATTAAAAATTCCTGCATGTATTGGATATATGCACACACACACACATGTGCAGGTGAGAGGCTGTATGGAAGACAGAGAACACAAATTTGTAACCTATAGTGATGTATAACAATGATTAAAACCATCAGATATCCTCTAACACAAATTTTAAAAATAGTCTGGTATTTAACCGATAATGGATACCTTCACAGATAACAGAAGTAGAATTAAAGGTTGCGAAAATTACTTCTATGTGCAAAGACAGGGAGGCAAGGTCACTTATATTTAAACTTGACCTTGAGGCCAACTGTGAGTCAAGACTAGTCAAACTTTACATCATACTTGAGTATCTACACAGATGAGTGGTAATAAGGATGGCTGAAAATCATTTTATCCAAATATCATCTTTCCCATTATATCTTTTTACATCATGCTTATTTTTAGAGATTCTCAAGACATCTTCAAGGTAAAGGGTTACTGAATTTTACAGTCATTTATAACAGAATATTCTCAACATCTGAGATTCCAATAAATATTTTATATCCCAAGTCACCAGTTAACTATTATTTTGTAAATAAACATATAATAGGCAAATGGAAGGAAAATAAAATGATTATTGTGAAAGTACTTATGTATTACTTATGATATCATGTGTTTTATATGAAAATAAAGTCTTGGATGAAAACTGAACACAGAAAGAAATCTGTAGAACTGGGTACTCAGAGCAACTGATTAGAAGGGAGGAATGGATTTGAGGACATGTGGTAGTAGTGGTCACAGTTGTGGGCAAGGGGGCTGTAATCTTTTGATAAATTTATGATAATGCTTTGGATAGCTAATAATCAGCAAAAATGGTCATTATTAAAAAGTTAAAATTTTAATGGTTTGTAAGAATGTTTAAAAAATTTCTAATTATTATGAACTGCCTGTCATGTTTAAAAGATTAAGCCATGTTTACAGATAAAATATTTTTATTTTAAGTGATCATTAAAGTAAAGCTTACTGGTTATGAAGGTCAGTGCTCTAAAATAATAATAAAAGATGATGAAAAACTGGTAAATACATTTCATCTTTTTGAAAGCGTTGAAGTTAACTACTGTTGTACACAGCAGGGAGGACAATGCCTTCAGAGCTGTTAAAAGTTTCCTACCATTTGACAAGAAACTCAAATGTAGGAATAAGATGGATTTGAATGGGTATAATACATTGAATTTAATTACATTATTTAATAAAAAGTAAAGCAGAATAATTCAATAAAATCTAGATATCAAGGGATAATTTAATTTCCACATAACATTACAACTCTGTTATTTGCTTTGTCTATGAACAGCTCAGTTTAGGACTCAGTGGGTTCAGATTTTGAAGACAGATTTTTTTTCCTGTAAAAGTGATGCAATTGATTTCAGAAGCACTATGAGCTGAATGCAGTTCAAACTCACACATTGTGGTGAGTTGGATGGCTCCTTCATCCACCAGGACTTGGTCAAGTGTGGTACACAAAATCACATGAAAATTTGAGAACAAATGACAAATATTTGATTTCATTGCCTGGGAGGGTAAAGAACATATGTGAGCATATTTCAATTGTCAGACTCAGTATCTTACTGTAAATAGATCAACTTGCCACTCTGGACACCATGAACAAGCATGGTAATTAATGTGCAGCCTAGGTTGTAGCTATGCAGGCTTCATAATCTCGAACTCTGGATGTAGTTACAGATGTGAAGACCCTGGCAGTCTGGGTAGGGCCTGTGTTTGTAGAAACTGTGGTTATGGGTCTGGCTAAAGAGGCTGTGGATGCATGTAGCCACCATCATGCCTAGGACATGGAATCTCTGGACTCTAGTAAACTGCTTTTATATTCAACATATAAACAATAATGGAACTCTCCAAAGATGGCCTCGCTCACTCTATAGCCGAGTACATGATGGGGCTGCTTGTGAATATAAATTGAGTATTTTACCAATGATACCATAATGACAGAGTTCTTTAATTTTGTTGGTAACTGCTCTGATTCTCTCTTCATCTTCTAATAAATCATTCTAATTTGAAACTAAAATATTATTTCATAAATTTAATTATGTATGCATGCTGGTGAATCTTGACAATACCATTGTGAAGGAGAGAGTCCATAAACACGCAGATAGTAGATAGTTTGGGAGTGAACTAGCAGACAGCTTCTGTAAAATAAATAAGTAATACTTTCCTGTTATTTTCACTGGGCAATACTAATATTCAAGTTAACAAGAAGCAGCTGTCACCAGAACCGTATCTTCATATGTTACTCGAGTTTTATTCCATTTAGAAGTATTTCTCAACTCATCCATTCAACAGGTCTGGCCCTTTAAATATAGATCAATAAAATATTTTAGATTAAACCATATCATTAAGCCAACTGGAAAAGTAAACTACTTCACTGCAAGAAAAATTTTGAATTCTGAAATTTCACCCAACTCTTCTGCACATTCTTATTTGATAACTGATTGTGCCATTGATCTGTGTTATTAATTAAACAGGGTAATTTTTCATCTGAAGCCAAGTCATATTTAATTCAGGATCTTTTAGCTACACTTGCTCAGTTGACTGCTTAACTTATTTCACTTCAGCTCTGTGATAGGACTTTCTTCTTTTTAATCCACAACATTGTAAAGCAATGAATTCCAAACATCTGTCTTTTAGTTTGTTGGAGCAGGGTGTTTCTTGTTTCCTGGCTTCCTGTCTAGTTTAGACCCGAAATAATTACACAGAAAACCATATTATTTAAAACACTGCTTGGCCCATTAGCTCTAGCTTCTTATTGGCCAACTCTTACATTTTAATTTATCCCATTTTTATTAATCTGTGTATCACCACGTGGTTTACCAGCTAAAGTTCCCAGCATCTGTCTCAGGCAACGGATCCATGGTTTCTCCCTGATTCTGCCTTCTTCCTCCCAGGATTCAGCCTAGCTTTCCCTGCCTACCTAAGTTCTGCCTTGCTATAGGTCCAAAGCAGTTTCTTTATTCCTTAGGGGTAATCACAGAGCACAGAGGGGACTCCCACATCATTACTTAACTCCCAAACTATTTTTAGAGTTATTATTTGTGAGTAGGTTTATGAGTTCTATGAGAAGAAAACTGATCTCCACAATTCTATTATAGATAGCACATTGATGTTTCTCCTATCATATCCCTGAAATGACCTTCCCTGTTTATTTATCATTGTACGTAGCTCAGCCAAAATCCAGCAGTCTGTGAAATCACCCCAGATTAAACTAAAACCACACATTAGCTCAGAACAAAGCCCTCAGTTTTCAAGGCGCTGCCTGTGTCTCCTGAGTGCAGGTGAATGTTTGTACATCACTATATCCAGCTTTGACATTTTGATGTATATATTTCATGACTTTCTTTTCCTCTTTATCCTTAAACATTTCTGTTTTTACTTGAATGAGTGTGTATACAAAGAGGCAAGATACATTTATATATTACTTGCTGTTTCTTTGAAACTGAAAATAAAACCAGACCTCTACCAGAGTTGAGCTCGTTCTCATCTGTAATATCTATTTTAATTTGAGTGCACCTCATTATGTACATAAAACAGGAATGTGAATGAGTCTCTCGTCATATGCACACACCCATCACACTTGCCTCAACATTCATACGATCCTTTAAACTTTTCAATGTACTTACTGCTGTTGGAGTTAATAAGAACTCAATGAAAGAGATGGGGAAATGGCTCAGTAGTTGAGAGCAACGACTGCTTTTCCAGAAGGACCTGGATTCAATTCTTAGCACCCAAATGGAAGTTCACAACTGTCTGCAACTCCAAAATCTGACACCCTAACACAGACAGACATTCAGGCAAAACACCAGTGTATATAAAATAAAAATAAATTAAAAAATGACTCACTGAGAATGGTATGTTTTTCTGCTCATTTTCCCCACAACGAACACTAGAATAAACTTGGATAAATCAGCAAAAGAATTTACCTGAATAGAAAATATTAGTTTAAATATTCTTTTGAATACAGTAAGCCATTTTGAATTGCATTTTACTTGGGAGAAAGCTTACTTACAACTTACTCATTTCATGCTGCCCCAGACAGAATTCATTGTTTTTGTTTTGTTTACCCAACAGGATGTTTTCCTTGGAAGAAGAGTTGACTAATCCATTGGAGAAAAGATATTATCAAGAATCCTATTTACAAATAGTAAAATCAAAGATAAAACAACATTTTCTCTGGTATATATTCAATGTCACATAAAGGGACATTCTAATTAAAACCCAGAGCTTATGATATTATTGTATTTTAATGATAATTAAGTTTGTATCGATTTCCTCTTTTCAAGGATAAGATTGGGAAGTCTGAGCAAAATGACAGGCTCCCCTTGCATTCTCTTTTGCAATCCAGCACATTCAGCATTGTCATTCATATCTGGAGAGTTATAAGTTCTGAAAAATTTAAAGCATCCCGTTAAAATAGTGTTCGACCCCCAAAGTACAGAAATGCTTTCTAAAGTATCCAATCATCTACAAGTAAGCAATGTCTAGAACACTTGTGAACTTGTTTACTAAAACAAAGTAATGTAGACAATGCAGGCACAGTTGAAAATACAATGTAAGGGAAAAGGTATCGTGATAACTTTAGGTATGTGGACAAAGTGACGAAAGTCTATTTAAAAAAAAAATAAATGGGTAATAACTAAATTCCCAGTTGGTACTATAATAAATAGAAAATAAATGAAAATTATGAGGTAAAGATTGGTTTGATCCAGATGATGGTAGTATGTATATGAGAGAGAGGAGTGAAGGAGGGGAAGTCATGAAGCGAAGTTCCCACCACACTGAAGGTAGAATACAGTCTATTCAAGTGATAAAATGGGTAATGGTATGAAGGGAATACATTTTTAAAATCTTTTTAGTCTGTTTCTAGAGTGAATGTAATGTCTTGTGGACCTTTCTGTTTCTGTGTAAAATTTTAGTATTCTGATAAGCCAAGAAAACATTTTTTATGGTCGTGGATAAATTAAAAATAGCTTTTATTCTGCCTATATTTTCTTTTTCTTTTTATATATCTATCATAATTATGTTCATTCACCTAGAACATATATTCTTTTGAAAGATTTCAGATACTTATCAATCTGAAAAACACATTTGAAGATTATAAGAACATTTGAATGTTTTAAACACGATCACTTATTATAATCTAGATGGTTATTATCAGATATTTCAAATTAAATGAATGAAATAGAACTAGAAATGAGAAAATATTTAGAAAGAATGTCTGGTGATATGAATAAAATAATGAGCATAATAACAAATTCTTCTACAAGAACAAATTTTCTAACTCTGAAGATGTTGACAGTTTCTCATAAAATAGGATACAGTGAGTTCAAGGGCATTCTAAGTAGGCAGAGCAGCAAGCTGAAATATTTTAATGAGTTATATGCCTCTCTTTGTGCTAGCAAACAGATTAATGAGGTGTCTCTAGTACATTAATAACTTGGAATGAAAGAAAATAGTACTCACGAGTTGTGTCATGTGTTCGGCACAGAGTATATAAGCATTCCCCTACACTTGTTACCACTCACACTCAGGATCTTACCTTGAACAGGAGGTCAAACCTACCTCTCACAACACCATGAGCTATTACAGTGGCTACTATGGAGGCCTGGGCTACGGCTATGGAGGCTACGGCTGTGGATGTAATAGCATCCGCAGACTGAGCTGTGGCTGTAGTTATGGAGGCTACGGATTTGGCTCTGGCTATGGAGGCTACGGATTTGGCTCTGGCTATGGAGGCTATGGATATGGCTGCTGCCGCCCATCATGCTATGGAAGATATGTGTTCTCCAGCTTCTACTGAGATCCTGTTCTAGTAACTCAGCATTTGATACCTTGACTAGGTGTTCTGAGAAATGTGTCCACATTTTATGTTTGAAGACTAAGAGTGAATTTATGTTCCATTGCCAATAAATGATTAAATAAGAAAGCCAAATATAATTTTTGTCTGGCTCATTTTATTTAAATGTTGATATCTGTTAAGTACAAAAATGTATATAAGAATATATATGTAAATAAATACACAAACACAGAAGTATACAGATAGATAGATAGATAGATAGATAGATAGATAGATAGATGATAGATAGATAGATAGATTAGATAGACAGACAACAAGAGATAGACAGGAGGGATAATATTTTAATATTAATGAAATGGTAAGGAGATAGAAATATGATCACCCTGACTTAACCAGCACATGCTAAACACAAGTCCTAAAGCAATATTCCCTTCTTCCTAAGTTTGTAACTTTTCTCAAATCATGACCTGTGTAAACACTTGCCTCATTAAAAAGTTTATTTTGTTGAAATGGAGAATTGAATTAACCAATTGACAGGTTATCTACTTGGGAATGTAACTAGCCAATCAGCAATGTTAAAACCCATCTCTCAGTGAAAACTTGCCATGACCTGAACTTTCAGTTTATGCTGTTATAAGTTGGGATGGACCACCAAGTGGGCTGAGCCAGTGAAATGGCACTCACAATGCTGTTGAGGGCTTAGTTGGGTAGACTGTTCCAGTATCATAGAATTTCCCAGGAGATATTTTCTTTCTGAAAAGGATAATACCCTTTTTTGAATAGTTACCACAAGGCTGTAAAGAAGAAAAATAAATTATTACTGATGTTGACATTCTTCATTTAGTCAATATTGTACCAATTCTGTTTTCTTTAAGATTTCTTATCAATTTCTAGGTTGAGAAGAAACCTTTTTCTCTTAAAAGACTTAACACTTCTACAAACAGTGATAATATTTTTCACTCTTCTATTCATTAAAATAGAATAAAATACATAAAAATTTATGTAAGTCAGAAGTTGATAATTCTAAACAAGTAATAACAGTATAATTATTCTTTTGATCCAATGAATGGATAGAAAAGTATGGGATTCTCAACAAATACTGCAAAAGGTATTTTTCTTATCTTGTGTTCATAGGAGAAAGCAGTGGTATATTTTTATAATTTCTTCAAAGTACATTTATTGTTTTAATGAAGAAATAAATTTTGCATAGCACAGTTTTACATCTACTTCCACGAAAATATGCTTAATATTTTTCGAAGGACTGAAGGGCTTGTGATTTTTATCACATACTGTTTCCACACATAGGATGATCTTATACCTCCACATATTGGGAAAGTGTAGTTAACAGGTTACACTATCAGAGAGAGTTCCAGAACAGTGATGTGAAATTCTGAGCTGTGATTTAGTTAGAGTTCTAAACCATCGCATGAGATAGCCTGTCAGAAAATCATAAACTTACTTAGAACATGAAAATAAAGGGGAGAGTTCATAACTCTAGTATGTGGTTCATGACAATGGATGTGAGAGATGTCAGTATCTTGCTGTAGTTTCAAAAGGCTGTACCTTGTGGGTCTCTGTCTCTGTCTCCTTTCATCGCCTGATGAAGGTTAATATTCAGGAGGATGCCTATATGATTTTCTTTGGGTTCTCCTTCTTATTTAGTTTCATTTTCTGTACAGTTTGTCTTATTGTTGTTACTGTTCTTGCTTGTTTTGACTTCTATTTCATATATTTTGTTGAAAGAGAGAGCAACCAAGAGATATTGTGAAGTTGGCCACAAAGGAGGTTGGGGGAAATNACTTTCTTCATCCATTCTTCAATTGAAGGGCATCTAGGTTTTTTCCAGGTTCTGGCTATTACAAACAATGCTGCTATAAACATAGTAGAGCATATACTTTTGTTGTGTGATAAGGCCTCTCTTGGGTATATTCCCAAGAGTGGTATTGAAATCTCGGGGTCCAAATCAGGAGCAGAAGGACAGAGAGCACAAGCAAGGAACTCAGGACCGCGAGGGGTGCACCCATACACTGAGACAATGGGGATGTTCTATCGGGAACTCACCAAGGCCAGCTGGCCTGGGTCTGAAAAAGCCTGGGTTAAAACAGGTCTCGCTGAACATAGCGGACAATGAGGACTACTGAGACCCCAAGAACAATGGCAATGGGTTTTTGATCCTACTGTACCTATTGGGTTCGTGGGAGCCGAGGCAGTTTCGTGGATGCTCACCTTACTAGACCTGGATGGAGGTGGGTGGTCCTTGGACTTCGAAGCCACAGGGCAGGGAACCCTGATTGCTCTTTGGGCTGACGAGGGAGGGGGACCTGATTGGGGGAGGGGGAGGGAAATGGGAGGCGGTGGCTGGGAAGAGACAGAAATCTTTAATTAATAGATAAATTAATTAATTAAAAAAAAAGGCTGTACCTGCCTTGGAATGAGGTTTGGCTGGAGTGGCTCAGACACTAAGAGAAAGGTTAGTGTTGGTGCATTGCTATGTCAGTCATGGAAACATGGGTGGAGTTCATGCCAGGCTGAAAATATTTCTCAAGTTACTTGAGTTATTCTTTAAGTGGTCCATGCTTTATCACAGATAGTCATATATCCTATTCATATTGATCCATGCTTTGATGTCACCAATAGTCATATTCTCCACTCATATATTTTTTTTAAGTGCCAACTGACTGCAAAGCTTTAACACTAGGTAAGGTCAAATAAACATTCCTATTAGAACAAAGAATGTGTTCCTTCATAAGTGGAATAGTACAGTCTTAAAAACTGTGTCATTTAAAAATTATAATAAATACCAAGAAAAACTTAACAGTGTAATTATAGTCATAAAATAAATTATACGAGACTCAGCTTTCAAGATGTGGCTACATGTGGGTGAGGTTTGGGAAACTTCAAATTCAGCCTTGGGCATTGCCACCTCACTGGGATGAGCCAAAGGAAGACTGAACACCAAGCCTTCAACATTCTGAAAGAGTATCTTATTATCCTCTCCCCTTTTCTGATTGAATCTTAGTTATTGAATTTAATACCTTTTGGGGTTGAACATGTCTTATTAAATGTTCAGAGTGTTTTATGTGTTAAAGTATGTTTTAAGTCATAAATAATTAATATTTTGGAAAGTTTAGGTTGGTAATGTAAGAAACATTACCTCAAAATAATACCTAAAAGCAACTACAACAACAGAAAAACACCACCAGGCAAAGCGGTGTGAAAAGTACATGTTTTGTCCTGAGAACTAAGCAGTGTTGACTTGGGTAAGTAAGGTATAGCCCAGTCCATTTTACCAATTCATCCCTTAGCCTGGGTGGAGATAAACAGTGGGAAATTGAAGTTCGCAGATATTTGAAATGGGACCTGAAAACAATAAATCACCAATAGCAGGTCAAGGAAGAAACAAGATGAATAGAGCAGACAAGGGGCACCTGAAGCTAGATTTCCTGTGGAGCCAGGTGAAGGAGTTTAGGGGAAGTTTGCCAAGAAGCTCAGTGAATTTTTAACCATTGTCACTGGAAGCTCAATTGTGGTGTGTGGCTAAACAAAAATAAATATTGAATAATTGAATATAAATCCCCAAATAAATATGAAAATTATGCATAGTCAAAATCTTATACTTGTAGAAATCAGGTGACAATTCATGAGTCAAGTTCTTGCCTCACATGGCACAAAATATGTTGTTACATTTCAAAATATGGCATTACATTTCAATCTCGATCTAGGCTATTTTGCAAATTTTTGAGACTCAAAATATAACAGTGTCCCCCCCACACAAATGCTCTAGAAAAAATTTAATTTCTGTTCAAGAATCGTTAACGTGTTTGGTATTGTCTAATAATAGCAATTTTTCATATGGTCTATTTTCTTTGTACTTGGAAGGTATAATACTCTGTCTAATAAGGTTAAGGCTGTCAGTACTAAGACAAACTCACTAGGTAGCCAAATAAATCTTAAATATTCTCAACAGGTGTTGGTCAGATGACAGGGATGAATGCGCTGTCTCAGATAATTACAATTCCTGGAATGACACAAAGGAGGGGTGCATGCTTTTGCAATCCTCTGCCCAGAGTATATAAGCTTTGCTGTAGGTGCTGTTTCTCACATCGACAATCTCTCCTTAAACAGCAGAACAAACCTACTACTCCCCGCACCATGAGCTACTACAGCGGCTACTTTGGAGGCCTGGGCTATGGCTACGGAGGATTCAGAGGACTGGGCTATGGCTATGGAGGCTATGGCTGTGGATGTAATAGCATCCGCAGACTGGGCTATGGCTGTGGCTTTGGAGGCTATGGATTTGGCTCTGGCTATGGAGGCTATGGATTTGGCTCTGGCTATGGAGGTTACGGATATGGATGCTACCGCCCTTCATGCTGTGTAAGATATGGGTTCTCCAGCTTCTACTAAGTGAATTGATGAAATCAGAAGTAACCAGTACACTTCCAAATATATGTGGTCATGTTCTTGGCTCATATTCTAGAAACATGCATCCCATTTTCTCTGACACCCGTAGGAACGTTTAAGAAGCTTGTGTGACCATTTATTTTTTATCTTTAACCTCTGTAACCCATTAACAAAATGCATTTTAATATGGATTATCCTTTAATTTATCCTTCTTGCTTCAGTTTGGTTTTTAATTACTATTGCCATGCTATCTTTCTAGCAAATTCTTAGAGAAACTTTATGCTTTGTTGTCATCTAATAAATATTTGAAATATTTCCCATTGCTTTAGCATCTTACTTTGCAACTAATAGAACAAATTTTATTGGGAAGTGTTGATATCTGGGTGTACACTATATTTTGATGAAAATGGTTCTAAGCCACTTTGCTACACAAGCTTAAAATATACACAATGACTACAAAGAATGAACAGAAATAACTTTCTTTGGTCATTCAAGACATAAACCCTCTCAAATGCCCGTTACAGAGAGTAGCCTCTTGCATTCTGCTGTGGAGTACTATCATTTGCTGCATCTTCTTTTGGTAATGCTACTCTAAAAAATCACAGTATTGCCTTTTCTAACTTTTTGTCTTAGGGATTAGTAGGCATACATGAGTCTTTTTTCCCTTGGTGTCTGCTGAGAGGAACAATGCCTGTGGCAAACACACTTTGTCAGAAGCACAAACAGTACCAGAACTTACATCACAGTAAGGTCACATGGTGATGGTGATGGAGGAAGGTCATTGGTAATAAACAAACTGCCTTGGCCCATTTTGATAGGCCATCCCTTAGGTGGGTGGAGTAGGCAGAACAGGATGATGGGAGGAAGAGGAAGTGCATAAGAACAGTACCTCAAAGAAGAGTATATATATATAGTATAGGAAAAGTAACTTTAAATTTGTATCCATAAACTGAATCTATACTGATATAAAATATTTTGAGATTAATATTTTGGGGGGGTTAATTTAGATTCAACCTTTTTATTCTTTCATTTTCATATCTCACTTTTTTCTTTTCAAAACAAGATCCCTGAAACTAATCTCTTTTGTTCAGCTAATCTTTTTTTCCTGATCATTACTAATAACAACTTGTGACTAATCCCCTTAAATGATAACAAACATCTATAACCAATATTTTGAGATTGTGAGTGCCATTCTTTATACTTCTTCCTGTTGTCTAGGGGTACCGGTATTTATGGGGAAATCTTGAGAAATCTGGGATAATAATGAAATCCCAAGTGGAGTAGTCCATGAGGTTGAATGTTCTGAGCCAGTAGCCATGGAACTGTTTAGGATACAGAATTTTGAGAAGACTGTAACAAAGACATTTTGTAATGCTGAATCACCTGGACCATCCATTTTCATTGGTGTATGGTCCCCTTATTCATAAACTTTTATAGGTAACATACCTTACAAATAAACACATTGAAGTCTATATTAATCAATATAAATGCTTAGTCAATAGCTCAGGCTTCTTACTAGTTAACTCCTTCATTTAAAATAACCCATATTTCTTATCTATGCTTTGCCACATGGCTTAATACCTTTGCTCAGTACAGCATGCTCATCTTGCTTCTCTTTGTCTGCTTCTGACTCCTCTGACTCCGGCATTCTTCTTTCTAGTATTCTCTACCTGGCTTTCCCACTAACCTTGCCCTGTCCAGCTATTGGTCAGTCAGCTTCTTTATTAAACCAACCATAGTGACATATATTCACAGTGTAAAGGATTATTTCACAAAAAGGATCTTTCAAAATAGTCTCTAAGCAATGTACAATCTGAGAAACCAGCATTTCATAGAATATCAAGTAACTTAGAGTTGGGCACAGCCTCGTTTCAATGGTCCCTAATAGAGATTACCTATTTGGCACCACCGTTAAACAAGAAACACAAGGGTCATGATATTCTACAAAGAATTGTAGAGAGCAGGTGTACAGGAGGAAGCATTTCTTATTTGTTTATCATTTATTGAAGGACATTTAATGTTCAGTAGAAAAAATCTACTATGGGAGACACAAACTGAAATGTTAATAGCATACAGGATTTTTTTTTTCACTGATAAGAGCTTTTCATGGTTGACAGCTCTTTCCTTATTCAACTAAGACTAGGGACCCTGATTTTTTTCTTCCCAGACATTTTCTACTCCGAAATTTCAGGCCATACAGAAAAAATTGCCTTCATGCTTGCTCTACAATTTATCATTCCTGGTTCAGCACCTAGGATCTCAACAGTGAATCTGGACTGGATATTCCTGCAACAAGTTTATTAGCCAACTTATAAAATGGAAAGGAAGCCCATTCTACTAGTTCACTGGTCATGAATGGACATGTGTGAATCCAATTAACTCATATTTGACCCGTTGCTATTGATGTCAGAGTTCTTCCAACACTTCTATACACTTAAAAGAGAATAGTAGTATTAACAAATTTCATTTTACATAAATTACTTTCTTTTGCCTATATGCATTTTTATTTCAAATCAGAAAATTAAAAAAGAATAAATAAAACAAGATGAGAAGGAAGGATGGCAAAGGGAAAGAAAGAAGCAAAAGTAGAAAAAGGAAGAAAGGCAGGAAAAGTTTTGGCAATTATAATCACTTCATAATTGAACTTGCTCTGGTAACAAAAAATTATTGAATCAATAAAAATATTTAGTTAGAGAGAAGAAAATGAAATAAAGGATATTTTCCTCTTTTAAATGTAGAGGAAGGGCTGCATAACTTGTATACATACCTTTTGAATTTTCATAATTAATGGGGAAACAAAGATAATTGTGCCCAAGTGTTGTCAAACTGAAATAAATGGACACAAAGACTTTCCTGTGAATTCCTTTTGCAAGTAGTGTAATTAATTTTGTCATCGAAAGTTTGAAACCTAAAGTTTCTGGTGTTCTAAATACCCTGGACAGAGTTATTCTACAGCTTATGATTTAACTAGAGGGACCCTGGAATACTCCCCCTCTGTATTAATGGCTGTGGTTACCATTCTGTATGATTTATGTCCTTGAGTATTCATCTTTTATTGCTATCTCTAAAATTTAATGACATGTAAACACACTTTTACATTTGCTCTCTAAGGGATTCTGTTATATGTGGAGATTTCCCTGTTGACACATTTTTTAAATGGTGGGTGTTTTTATCCTTTAGAACATATAACATGTGATTGCTCACCATAATTTTCTGCAGACAGGCAATGCACTGACTAAACATGACCTTGTCTCACATCTACGTTTGGTTTAAATGCTGTCTGCATTTGAAGACTTATTTATTTCTGTTCAGAACTGTACAAATGCTATTAAAGTTGACTTTTACCCAATGTAATTAATGCTTCTGAATGCCATAGTTTTTAGGAACAGATTTTTCAAGCTACGTTTACATTCTTGATCTCGTTGTCAAAAGTTTGGAAGCAAGAAATCTCAAATACATTTCCAAATTGTGCTCTGTTGTTGGGGACCAAACTTCAGTGCATCAGTTCTCAACCTTGCTAATGCTCTGACTCTAATATTGCTTCACATCTAGTGACCCCCGACCATAAAATTTTTCCATTGTTACTTTAGAACTATAATAATTTTGCTACTCTTATGAATTGTAATGTAAAATTCTTGATATGAGAATATCTGATATGTGATCTCCAAAGATGTTGCAACCACTGTGTGAGAATGGCTGATATAGTACACCATTCACAGATTAAAATGTTTCTTCTAATGTGAACAAGAAGGCTATTTACAGATGGAAGGTATACATCCTTCTTTCAGGAGAAGCTAGAACTGAAACAGTGATGTTGCATGTTGGGAAGGACAAAGCCTTACTGCTTACTAATGCCTTAGTCTTGCCATCTACTTCAACTTTAACCTCTTGTTAGGACCCCAGAGGAGCACTAAAGGCATTACTAGATCTCATTTTCATTCTTTTGAGTGTAGTTACGCTGAATACATCTCATTTTCAGCTGAGAGGAGAGAGAGAAGAACAAAACCTGCAGGCCATAATTTTTATTATGATTATGAAAGGGTGCCGCAGTGTACTTGTGAAGGTCAGAGAACAAGGTACAAAAGTTAATTAGAGACTCTCCTTCCCCTTCCACCAGATGGGTCTGGGTCTCCAAACTTGAACTAAGTCATTAGGCTTAGTATCAAGTGCCTTTACCAACTGACCCATCTCATAAGCCCTATAGGTCCTAATTTTTAAGGATTTTAAATTGTAATAGTACTAATGGTAATCAACCTTCCAGTGAACTGTGATTGCATAGCTTAACATCTAATACTAATATTAAAGGAAGAAATAAGAATATAATATAAACCTAAGAAAAGTGATTTTTCTCTCAGCTTCATTGCAAGTTATTTGTAAGAAATAAATCACAGAAATTACTTTTCATCCAAACTATCTGGACCTTCTTCATTTATTGCTGTTTGGCCCTGTGAGCTCTATGCCTGCCATTTTTTCCTAGCCCCTTTGTTGAAAGTCCTTTGTATAAGATTACTCCATCTTGTTGTTGTGACAAGAATTCCTGCTATAAACTGAAGATTTCAATGTTTCTGGAATAGAAAAGTTCTCAAAAAAATTTAACTCAAATCTAATGTGGGATTTCCTTCTGAAAATATGTTGCCTTTATTGGTTGATGAATAAAGCTGTTTCCTTCAATGGCTTAGCAGAATAAATTCAGGTAAAATATCTGAACAGAAATGAGAGAATCAGGGGAGTGAAGGAAATACCCTGTAGCTGCCAAAAGAGAAAGATACCAGACATTACTAGCAAGCCACACCTTCATAGTAAACATAGATTAATAGAAATGGGTTAATTTAAGTTAAAAGAAGCTACCTAGGAATAGGCTTGAGCTATTGACCAATCAGTATTTGGTCAATTAATATAGTTTTTGTGTGGTTATTCAGGTCTGGATAGCCAGGAAACAAAAGCACAGTCTCATTGTTTATAAAATGGAGCCCTTATTTGGCAACATACATCCACATAAAGCC